CGGTCGGTTTTGAGGGAAATAAAGGCGAATATTTCCGTGAAGGTCGAATTTTGCCGAGGTCAGGCGGAACCCTCCTGGTCCCGGGGCTCGGTGGGGTCCTACCGGTGTACGTGGGTACCCGGAGGGAGGCAGTGAAGTGGAGGGAGCCGCAGCACGGACTGGAAGGCTCCACCTGAGCATCAGGAATTTTCCCTGTTTGGGTGCCCGCACAGGTGGGGGGTGGGACACCCACCCCTGGAGATGTTCGCGAGGTGTCAGGACAACCTGGTGCAGGTGGCCCAGCCTAGACAGGAGGCTCGGAGCAGGTGGAGGTCCCTTCCAGCCTCAGCCCTCTTGTGTTTCTAATGCAGCTGAGAGATATAAAGTGCCTGAAAGCATCTGACAAACACTTATTTCCCTATCGCACTTGGAGCTGATGGTTTCACCATTAGGTCTCTGAACTCTACGTGCGTTGATAATGGAAACAAACCCTTGAAATCATGAAGGTGAAGGCTTACAGGGCTGTGGCAGTTAAAAAGTTGTAGACATCTGTTTGCCTTGGACCCACTAGCACCAGTGATGAAGTTTATTTTGGCAGCGATGTCTGATGTTTTTTTGTTGGCAAACGTAAGTGTAGAAGAAGCTGTCTCTTAGCAAAAAAATAGACAAAATTGCAGTGCTCGTGAAACCCACGTTCTCTTTGTGCATATGTCCAACAAGATAGTGGGGAAAAAATGAGCCATTTAGTCTTGGAACTTTTTTCAAGTATATTTTGTTTGTAAAAATAAAGCTATTTTATTTGCTATTTTATTTGTAACTAAGCTATTTTATTTCTAAAACTTTAAATACTCTCTCATTCTCTGTTCTGAGTATTCCCCTGTGGTTTGTCCCACAGAAATGGAGAAGCTGAATAAGATGAGTACCCTCTTAGAAAGACTTCACGTGAAGTACAACCAGAACAGACCTTGGACAGAAACCATGAAGTTAGTCCGTCAAGTCATGGTGAGGATTGCTGGGCTGTCAGCAGGAGGACTTGGAAGTTTCTTCACTGATCATTATGTTGTCGATTTGTTAGATCTCTTCAAAGTGCTTTACTTTGGGATGAAATCTAGTCTGCTTTTACTTACCTAGGGAAAGCTCCCTTCCCCTAAACAAAAGTTGCAATAATTGCCTATTACCGAGCGATAGACAAAAAGGATGTTTTTCTTCTTTCTAAGGAAAAACGAGTTGTGATGAACTCTGGGGGGCACCAGCACCTGGTGAGCTGCTTGGAGACTCTGCAGAAAGCATTAAAAGGTTGGTACGTTCTGTGCGTGCACTTCACAAATTGCGTGGAAATACTTCGAGTCATAAAAGCAAGCGAGGTTCTTGCACGTTTCACTGTGTTCTGCTGCATGTGTGCTCCCATTTCCATCGCCGTGCTGGTCGGTACGACTCGGGGGTGCCTGTGTTACTGTAAATGCCCACGGCTCTCTTCCACTCGGGGAAGAAAATCCCTTCTCTCTTTGCAGTTCTGAGAACGTTTGGTTTTCTCTGTGCAAATTGTTCTGCCTGTGTTGGGGTAGGGATAACGTACAGGGTTGTGAAGATGCGAGCGGACCTGTGAGGGAGGGACTAGTTGAGGTTGGTCTGAATGCTGGTGTCTTATTCCTGGGGAAATGTTGAATTGTTTCACTAAGCCTCATTTTTTATTCCCTCCATCTAGTGTCCTCTCTGCCTGCCATGACGGATCGCTTGGAGTCTATAGCCAGGCAGAATGGGTAGGTCTTCTCTTTTCCTGCAAAGGCTTTTCCCGTTTATCTGTACGCATCGTAATCTCACTGCTGGTTCGGTTGGTTCCTGTGTGCATCTCATAGCAATTTTTGTTTTGTTTTGTATGTAAGCCTTGGATCTCACCTTAGTGCAAATGGCACTGAATGTTACATCACCTCAGACATGTTCTATGTGGAAGTCCAGTTAGATCCTACAGGGCTGCTCTGTGATGTGAAGGTGGCTCACCATGGAGAGAACCCCGTGGTACGTATTCCTGACGCAGACGAGGGTAATGCCTTTGTGGTTTTGACCCAGCCGTTTCGGCTCTCTTTCGTGTGAGCGGAGGAAGTGGATTGTACTGAATGTTCCAGCAGACCTAGCGTTACCCCTTTTTCCCTCGCTCTGGTGGGAAGTAAAAGCCTCCACAAAGTAAATCCCTCCTGTGGGTTGATCCGATCAATGCAGGGAGTGTCTCCCTGATGGCCTTCGTTTTGCTCTGAGGGGTTCTGTAACTGGCAGCGTCTTCTTGAGGGAGTTATTGCCGTGTTTCTGGGAGTTTTAGTGCTGAAGGAAGAATGGGCAAATTAATCTTAGAACACTTAGATATGTAAATGGAAAATACTAAAACATGGAATACTGAAAGAAAACGTCTTCTCTTCCCTTCTGCACGTGTACCGGAGTTTGAATTGCTGTTTCTGTTGGCCCAGCCACTCCTCTAAAAGCAGACCAATTTCAGTATTTCTAGATAAAATAATTCTTTTTCAACCTATTGCTTTTCAAATCAGTTGTTTCAGAGGAAATGGCTTGAATTTGTCTCAGAGGGGGTTGACAGGTAGAACTAGCAATGTCTACTGGTGAGCATTGTGTAACTTCTGGAAAGCTGATGCTCAGAAGTGTTACTGTCCGAATATTTTACAGTTGCTGTGCTACACAAAGCCTCGCGTTACTGCATTCAACATTGATATCGTTGTATGTTCTTTCCTTTTCAGAGTTGTCCAGAATTGGTTCAGCATCTGAGGTGAGCACAAGACTTGTTTGTAGAATTTTCTGACAGGCTTCTTTTCGCCACATTGATGTGATGCTGTTTTACGTCTGGAAGTACAGCGTGTTTCAGACCTCTTCCTTCCCCACAAACCCCTCTCCTCCAGGGGATTTTTCTGACTTTGATTTGGATATTTCTGATTCTGGCCTGTATCTTGGAAACCAGAGCACAATACTCATCAGAATCGTTAAAGCCGGATCATTTAAAGAACATGTTCTGTGACTTAAACAAAACCGTCTCTGTTAGGAATTTGGATACATGTGAGCGTCTTCTCCCTCTTCCTTTCAGAGAGAAAAATTTTGATGAGTTTTCTAAGCATCTAAGGGGGCTTGTGAACCTGTATAAGTTGCCCGGAGAAAAGTAAGTCTAGAATCTATTTGTTTACATCCACGTGTGTAAAAATTAATTAAATCTACACGCTTTTAGTGCTTAAATTTTCAGTGTATGTGATCTTGGTCGCCGTGGCTTGCACGTGCACAGAGTGGGTAGGGAGGGTTTAATGTGAAGTGGGAATGCAAAATGAAAAAGTGTAATTTCTAAATGCTCAATGTGACGACAAGTACTGCAGCTTGTCAGCCACCAGTTCTGTCACTTGGATTTCATTGCAGTTCCTCTCAATTTTTCTTAAATTGTTCTGTTGTGTTTTTTTTTTTTCTCCCAGCAAACTTAAAACTAAAATGTACTTAGCTCTGCAGTCCTTAGAGCTGGATCTCTCCAAAATGGCAGGGATGTATTGGTAAGGACATCTGTGTGGTTTGTTGGTTTTTGTCGTTGTTTTACCCCTTAACGCTGCATCGCGGTGGCTGATTCTGATCACGCCAGGTCCCGTATATCCGGGAAGTGTTGAGCCTGTGCCAGTACAGGCTGATGCTATTGCTAAGAGCAATGCTGAGGCCGTAGAAAGCCTGTGCTGGCAGGGTAGTTATATATAGAGAGAGCGAAAAATTGCTTAGAATTTTCTGAGCAATTCTTTTTTCACCGCAGAATTCAATTGAAAGGAAGTCTGGAAGGTAAAAAGCTTGTAACTACATGGATTAATGGTGATGAGTTTTACAGTAAGAAACTGAGAAACGTTTGACCTTTTTCACTGCTATAGATTCAGTAGATAAACCATCCGTGCTGTAGAGAGTAAAGATCTTTTGTTTTGCCTATAGGTGTGTAGTTTAAGATCACTCTCTCTGACCAAGAAGTGTATGTGTTGGGCTAAAATCTTAGGCTGCCATCAGCACGTGGATTTTGCCTTCGGGTGTGACTCTGGCTTGTTCGACAGCTCTGATCGCCTCTCTTGCAGGCAGGCCACCAACGCAAATCCCCTCGACAAGATTCTTCACGGCAGTGTTGGCTATCTCACCCCCAGGAGCGGAGGTATCTTTGATTCGCAGTTAAAAAAGAAAAGAATTACGAGTGCTTGGTTCAGGATCCTCTCTATGGACGTTAGTTTTACGTTAACTGATGGCAATGATGGCAAATGCTTGTCAGACTAGAAGAGGGACAAGGTGGACGAGTGTTTTTGCAAGTCCCACACGACCCAGAAATGCCAGCTTGTCTTTACAAAGCCACACAGGGTAATTTTGTGGCAGATGGGCACGTCTCTGTCTTTTGACAGCACGGAACACCTCTTTCGAGGTGCACTGGCGGCTCTGTGGGGTTAATAACGATCAGGTTAGTTTGTATCATCAGGATGCCTGCTCAACAGCTTCTGTTCCACAGGTCTTCTGATGAATCTCAAGTATTACGTCTCACCCTATGATTTATTTGAAGACGGCACCGGAGCCCCCGTTATTTTGCACGAGAACAACGGTAGGTCAGCTTTAGAAGCTAGTGTGGGCTGCTGCTGCTTGAAGGAGAGAAGAAAGCAGAACTACGACAGTCTAGATCCCCTCACCTTGTGAAAAAAAAAAAAAAGAAAGTGTAGGTTGAGTGACAGAGGTTTAATAAGCTCCTGTGTAAGTGCTGCCTGAGGTTGACCCTCTTCCCGAACCTCGTGGCTGTTTTGGAGTTTGAGCTGGAGTGCTACCGAGGGGCACGGGTGACAGTCTGCAGACCGAACCTTTTCCTTAGGGGGTAGTTTCATCATTAAGGTGGGATTTGTTTTATTGTGGGAATCTCTGCCATCTGACTGAAAGATTATTTTTCGTGCATGTATGTGGACATCTGGCTGTTGCTAAAATGACAGAGCCGAGCACCAATTAAAGTTGAAGCTTGTCTTGGAAAAGAAGGAGGTGAAGTTGTCCAGGCTCATTATTTGTTTTGCTTTGCAAAGAGTGTACCACAAACGCAAAAATGTATTTGGAATATATCTTTAAGAAGTACTCAATTGGACCACCTTGCAAGTGAAAAGTAGAGCGTTGGGCAGTGGAACTCATTTGGCTGCAGTCCATTTAGTGATAAAGGCGAACGCTGCAAACGGAGCCCCATGGAAGCAGTAAGATGCTACAGCGGTACTTCATTCATCATGTTTGCGTTGTGGGGTTTTTCTGTCGGCTTACCTTGTGTTGTGTTTTATTTTTTCTTGCTTCCTCTTGCAGTTCCTCGGTCTTTGGGTATGAACGTGTCAGTAACAGTTGAGGGAACCATGGCGATGTACAAACTTCCAATCGCTCCTCTGATCATGGGCTCCCACCCGGTTGACAGCAAAGGGTGAGTGCGGGACGCGAAGTCGACGCTCCGTCCTCTGTTGAAGTCAGAGGAGGGACGTGAGTGCATGATGTCGTAACGTTATGTGCCAGGGAATACATACTTCAGGCATGTGATGTGCTTTTTGAGGAGGGTCTTCATTTTTAAGAAGGTGGAACAGTTTGGATTTGAGCAAGCAGAAAATTGGATGCCGGGTGCTGGTGGCAGAAGTCGGAGTCATGCCCTGCATCTAACAGCATCTTATGTTAACTCGGATGTTTCAGAACCCCGTCATTCTCGTCCATCACCAGTGCCAACAGCGTGGACTTACCAGCTTGTTTCTTCCTGAAATTCCCACGTCCCATTCCAGTGTCTCGAGCTTTCATTCAGAAGCTGCAGGGCTGCACAGGTGGGTTCCGGATCTGTCAGCTAGACGCTCCCGGGGTTTTTGTTAGTAAACTGCTGCTAATTTTTCACATGTGCCAGAAAAGTTGCTCAGAGTTTTGCATTATTTTCAGTAAAACCTCAGTGAGTTTCCTTCACTGGCTGGTGGCACCTCTAGCTCGTTGTCCCTTCCTGGCTCCCAGGTTCAGTTGTTCTGTGCCATCCTTCTCCCGCAGGGATTCCGTTGTTTGACACGCCACCGACGTTCGTACCCTTGTATGAGTTGATCACACAGTTTGAATTGTCCAAGGAGGCCGATCCTCTACCTTTAAACCACAACATGCGCTTCTATGCAGTAAGTACGTCCCTACAGCCAGGGCGCTCTCCTTTACCTTCCGTAGGCAAAACCAGTGCTGTGCAAGGGTTGGAATTCACACAGAGGCATGACCACAGTGATTAGGGAAGTCAGGTGATGGAAAATCCGTTGCTGTTGAGGGGCAGCTGCAGGAACGAGAGCGGAGGAATGGGACTGAGCCTCCCCAGGTTCTCTCCCTTCCTCGTGTTCAGACTGTAACGTGTAGCTGAATGAATCACGTCACTCTGGGAGAAACCCGAGTTCTTAAACTTCTCCGTGATGGATCTCCTGGTAGCTTGAGAGGATTTCTCTTTTCCTCGGGAGCGATGCTTTGTCATATGAAACTGCAACAGTGAATACTGCTCGGCAGTGCTACTTCTGAGGAGCTGCAATTGGGTTTTCCTTGTTCAGATTGGAAGGAAAATGTCTTTATTGTGTTTCACTTCCTGCCAGGAAGGTGACTTAGTGTCAGCTGGGTCTGGGGCCTGCTCTTCCCTTCCCAGATGTCTTTTATTACCTTGTACCCAGCTGGAATAAAACAGAAATTGTTTGTCAGGCTCTTCCAGGACAGCAGCACTGTTACTTTCTGAACAAAGATGCTCCTCTACCAGATGGAAGAAGCCTTCAAGGAACTCTGATCAGTAAAATCGCCTTCCAGCACCCTGGACGGGTTCCTCTCATCCTCAATTTGATCAGGCATCAGGTGGCGTACAACACGCTCATTGGCAGCTGCGTCAAGCGGACAGTTTTAAAAGAAGGTGGGTACTGCTTGGAGTGGAATATGATGTCTGGATAATAGGAAGCCCTGGGTGATTTTTCCAGATGTAGGAATAAAAAGTAAGACCTAAGCTGCTTGCTTTTTTTTTTTTTTTAATTATTGGGTTTTTTCTTCTGTAAGAGAGTATCAAGCTGGTGCCTCTGGTTCATCTCCTGTGTTCCCTAATTTAATGCTTCCCATGTCTTCCAGATTCTCCCGGGATCCTGCAGTTTGAGGTTTGTCCTCTCTCTGACTCCTGCTTTAGTGTATCCTTTCAGCATCCCGTCAACGACTCCCTGGTGTGTGGTAAGTGGACTCGGTAAAAGCCTGCGTGTGTTTACAGGAAGGGTGATGGGGTTCCCTTCCACCATGACCAGGATTTTGATCTCTCCCGTCTCCCTTCTCTCTTTTAGTGGTGATGGATGTGCAAGACTCTACTCACGTGAACTGTAAGCTGTACAAAGGGCTGTCCGATGCTCTGATCTGTACAGATGATTTCATTGCCAAAGTTGTTCAAAGGTAAGCTGGGTTTTCTTTGTGCTGCCACACACTCCAAACCCTATAGAGGAAGGCTGTGTCTGTCTCGTATTTATCCTAGAGGTTCTGGAGCTGTCGTGGCCGTGGGTGAGTTTTGGTAATGGTTGTTTGGAAGAGAGGAAACTTGGAGTCATTTTGAATGACGCGATTCATTTCGAATGTCTCAATTCCAGCTGTTGAACCGTTGCTCCTTATTCTTTGAGTGCGTGTCCAAGGTGGCAAAATCATTGTAACAGCGCAGACTGCATCCTGTGCTTTCACTGCGAGGTCATGCCAGCTATTAGTTGTTGGAGTTCATCGATTAATTAATTCCCCCTTTGTGATTGCAAGGCAGTGTATAAAGGCGCAGTTGTCTCATGGCTGAATAAGCGTGAAGGGATAAGTAAATGCAAGCAGAGCAGCGAGGCATTCACAGTGCCCAGACCTGTTGCTCTCCTGTGCCCGAGAGCTTTCCCACTTGCTTAGTGTCTCGTGAAAGTTGTTAAAACATCTTCATGACCTTGCTGTAGGGCAGCAAAACGCCCGCTAACCCCTCGGTTTGGTGTCTTGCAGGTGTATGTCCATTCCCGTGACCATGAGAGCGATCCGTAGAAAGGCAGAAACGATTCAAGCCGACACCCCAGCCTTGTCCCTCATTGCAGAGACAGTAGAAGATATGGTGAAGAAAAACCTGCCCCCCGCCAGCAGCCCAGGGTATGGCATGACCACAGGCAGCAACCCAATGAGTGGTACCACTACCCCGACAAACACTTTTCCCGGGGGGCCCATCACTACTTTGTTTAACATAAGCATGAAAGAGAGGCATGACTCGGTGGGCCATGGGGAGGACTTCAGCAAAGTGTCTCAGAACCCGATTCTCACTAGTTTGTTGCAGATCACAGGGAATGTGGGCTCTACCATTGGCTCCAGTCCAACCCCTCCCCATCACACACCACCACCAGTATCCTCACCAGCAAGCAACACCAAGAACCACCCCATGCTCATGAACCTTCTTAAAGAGAATCCCCCTCAGGATTTCTCCACTCTGTACGGGAGCAGCCCTCTCGAAAGGCAGAACTCTTCCTCTGGCTCCCCCAGAATGGAGGTGGGCCCTGGGGGGAATAAGCAAAAGAAAAAAAAATCCCGCATGCCGGCCGACAAGCCCAAGCATCAGACTGAGGATGATTTCCAGAGGGAGCTCTTCTCAATGGATGTTGACTCCCAGAATCCCATTTTTGATGTCAACATGACTGCAGACACCCTGGACACCCCTCATATCACTCCGGCACCCAGCCAGTGCAGCACTCCTCCTACTACATACCCCCAGCCTATACCTCACTCGCAGCCCAGTATTCAGAGAATGGTTCGACTTTCTAGTTCGGACAGCATTGGGGCCGATGTTACCGATATCCTCTCGGATATAGCAGAGGAGGCTTCCAAGCTCCCCGCCACTAATGAGGACTGCCCGCCCATTGGTACTCCCGTGAGAGACTCATCTAGTTCAGGACATTCACAAAGTGCCCTCTTTGACCCCGATGTTTTTCAGACGAACAATAGTGAGAACCCGTACACAGATCCAGCAGACCTGATAGCAGATGCTGCTGTGAGCCCCAACAGCGATTCTTCAAACCATTTCTTCCCCGATGGAGTAGATTTCAATCCTGACTTGCTCAACAGTCAGAGTCAGAGTGGCTTTGGGGAGGAGTACTTTGATGAGAGTAGTCAGAGTGGAGACACTGATGATTTCAAGGGCTACGCCTCCCAGGCTCTAAGCACTTTGGGGGTGCAAGTCTTGGGGGCTGATGGGGGGGAAAATAAATTTAAAGGTGGCAGTCAGTCCGATACAGTAGATTTTAGTATTATCGCGGCTGCAAGCAAAGCACTGGGGTCCTCTGACATCATGGAGCATCACAGTGGAGGTCAGAGCCCTTTACTGAACGCAGGGGATATAGGAAAAGAAAAGTCTCAGAAACGGGTAAAGGAAGGCAACGGTTCTGGAAGTAACGTGGCGGGTCCCGGGATAGACGGGAAGCCAGGGAAACGCAGCCGGACGCCATCCAGTGATGGTAAAAGCAAAGAGAAACTTCCAAAGCGGAAGAAGCAGGACACAGATGGGAAATCTCCATCTCACAGTTCATCCAACAGACCTTTCACGCCACCGGCCAGCACAGGTGGGTCCAAATCTCCTGGGAGTTCAGGCAGATCTCAGACTCCTCCCGGTGTAGCTACTCCTCCTATTCCAAAAATAACCATTCAGATCCCAAAAGGGACAGTGACTGTTGGCAAACCGTCTTCGCACGGCCAGTATACGAGTAGTGGCTCTGTCACCTCCTCCAGCAGCAAAAGCCATCATAGCCATTCTTCCTCCTCTTCCTCTTCTTCCTCCTCTTCAACCTCAGGCAAAATTAAAAGCAGCAAATCGGAAGGGTCTTCTGGCTCAAAGATGAGCAGCAGCCTCTACTCAAGCCAAGGCAGCTCCAGTTCAGGTCAGTCCAAAAGCTCAGCTCAGTCGGTGGGAAAGCCTGGATCGTCGCCCATCACCAAGCACGGGCTCAGCAGCGGTTCTGGAAGCACCAAGATGAAACCTCAAGGAAAGCCGTCGTCACTCATGAACCCTTCCATGAGTAAACCAAACATCTCTCCGTCTCATTCCAGACCTTCCGGAGGTTCGGACAAGCTTGCTTCTCCCATGAAACCCGTGCCAGGTACTCCGCCGTCATCTAAAGCCAAATCACCTATCAGTTCAGGTTCCGGAGGCTCCCATATGTCTGGGACCGGATCGAGCTCAAGTATGAAATCGTCTTCAGGAATGGGATCCTCCGGGTCTATGTCACAGAAACCGCCTCCGTCGTCAAACTCTTCGACGGCCTCTTCATCTTCCTTTTCGTCTAGCGGGTCTTCCATGTCTTCATCTCAAAACCAGCATGGAAGCTCCAAGGGCAAATCTCCAAGCAGGAACAAGAAGCCATCTCTGACTGCAGTCATAGACAAACTGAAACACGGGGTTGTCACTAGTGGGCCTGGTGGAGAAGACCCGATGGACGGACAAATGGGGCCAAGTTCCAATTCCTCAAGCCATACTATGTCCTCCAAACACAATATGTCCGGAGGCGAGTTCCAGGGCAAACGTGAGAAAAGTGACAAAGAGAAATCTAAAGTCTCGGTTTCTGGAGGATCTGTTGACCCTTCCAAGAAGGCTTCGGATTCCAAAAGTGTTGGAAGCACTGGAGTGGCCAAAATTATCATCAGCAAACACGACGGTGGTTCCCCTAGCATTAAAGCCAAAGTAACTTTGCAGAAACCTGGGGAAGGAGGTGGGGATGGCCTGAGGCCTCAGATGGCTTCTTCCAAAAGCTACGGGTCCCCTCTCATCAGCGGATCGACTCCAAAACACGAGCGCTGCTCCCCCCCCAGCCACAGCAAGTCACCAGCATACACCCCCCAAAACATCGACAGCGAGAGCGAGTCGGGCTCTTCCATAGCGGAGAAGTCCTACCAGAACAGCCCCAGCTCTGACGACGGCATCAGGCCTCTGCCCGAGTATAGCTCAGAAAAACACAAGAAGCACAAAAAGGAGAAGAAAAAAGTGAAAGACAAAGACCGGGACAGGGATCGGGATCGCGATAAGGACAGAGACAAGAAGAAATCTCACAGCCTGAAGCCGGAGAGCTGGTCCAAGTCCCCGATTTCGGCAGACCAGTCTCTCTCCATGGCGAGCAGCGCTATCCTGTCAGCTGAGCGGCCGTCCCGGGCCAGCCCCGAGTTTTTGATTGGGGAAGAAGATGACGATCTCATGGATGTGGCTCTAATTGGCAATTAATTTACTTAACGTCTGTCAAAGGGGAGCTGTCTGCAGGACCTGCGGGTTCTAGAGACAGAAAGGAACCATCCCCTGCAAACCCGCCACGCTGATATTTATGGGGAGTGTTTGAAGAGAGAGATAGGGAACAAAAAAAAGTATTTCCAGGGATCTCCAAAGCCTGAACAGGAGGTGTGAGTGCCAGCAGCTCGTCTGGCCAGCCAGGTTCCTGATGTGGCCTTCGTCCCGCGAGCACTTACACTCGTTCTTAATTCAAAGTGTTAGCAGCCCTGCTAGAGTTAACAGATATAAAGCGACGGGCGTGTAAGTGGGGGAGCAGACCCCAAACCGGTGCAAACAGAAATAGGCTGTTCCAGGGGAGTCCGAGTTCCTCTGCCCTTCTTCCCATTCAGAATAAGTTACTTTTGTATTTAGGAAATTTTAAAGGGATTATTTTAGGACATGTTTTAGGTTTGGGTTTTATTCTTTTTAAAAGGGTGGTTGAAAGGAAAAAGGAATTGAAGTTTTTCTAATTTATTTTATTTCTGTGGCATTTCTTCATTCAATGCCTGATTCAGCGTGGTGCCGAGGAGCTTCATCCTCCTCTCGCTCGAGCTGCTCTGCAGAACCGGGCACCACGCTCTGATGGATATTATTGCAGGTCACGGTGGTGAAGGATTGCTCTCTGTGTTGGACTTCCCTTTTGTTTTAGCTATTTATTTATGTCTGTGTCCAAGCGCCTTGTGCTGCTTTTTTTCACACAGCCTCCGCGTTCATTGTTCAGTGCGGAGCCCAGAGGGACTCGGGGAGTTTGGGTAGCGCCCGTGGGCTGGGGCAGCTTGTGCACACGTGCAGCCACCGTTGCTTTTGGGGAAGTCGGTGACGTTCTGGCCTGCGTTGGAGCAAACTGAAATGAGAAGGGACTTCACTGACTCCATCTGAGCCTTTCTTCCGAGCAAACAGAGCGTCCCCCGAGTCCCCTGATGCGATGGGCTGCGAACTGTGCGCGTTCCAGTCCTGTGAGAACTTCAGAGCTTCATTTATCAGCTACGGATAATTCCGTTAATGCTGACAGAGCAGCCAGTGTGCGTTCACAGTGAAAAAACAGGACTCATTTTCTCAGCCCTTCAGGGGCTTCGTTTGGGTTTTTGCTTTTTATTTTTTTTTTTTTAACTTCCAGCATGCTTCTCAGATAGCAGTTCTGGTAGCACACGTGGGCCTTGCAGCCTCTCTGCGGGAGGTGCCGGCCTGGCAGCGCGAGCCGGCCGTGCCCTGGTGCTGGCACAGACGCTGCTAGAAAAAACCAGCCCCTGACTGGCTCATCTGGGACCAGTCGTAGCAGAAGCAGCGGTTTCCCCAAGAGATGGATTTTCCCCTTTTGGCTGGAATTAAGAGCATGACTCAGGCATCCTCTGTGGTCTTATCTCTCGGTCCCTGAAAGGAAAAGAGAGTCAGGAGAGTGTTTTATTTTTAAAAGCAGTTAAATCTGATTCACTGAAGAGGAATGTGAGAAATCAAGAGTCCTGTGAGCACAAGTCCTTTCTGGATCATGTACCAAGCAGAATCCTGCACCCGGTGGATTTTGCTTTTGATTCCTGGAGGCCAGGATTTCCCCCGTGGGAATGAGATTATGCTTCACGTTTGGAGATGCAGTCTGAAAAGATGGCAAGGATTTATGTTTTTTTCAAACCACGGAGATTCCCAGTTCTGCTTACGGCCTGCCCCCTGTGGTACCCCAGGCAAGCGGGGGTGGCAACTATTCTGTTAATTGTAGGAGTTTTTCATCTTTTCCTCCTGCTTTCAGCTTAATTCCAGGGCTCCTGCAGAATGTGGGAGTCATGAATTCTTCCAAACTGCACCCCGCAGGCTCTGGAGAGCTCTCCCTTTTCCACTTTTCCTTTTTCCACTGTGGTCTGCAGCCCGTAGCTTCCCCCTCCCTGATGCTCCCATCTTCACATGCAAAGGTGATGGGAAAACAGTCAATGAAGTCTAAACGTGGAGCAGATGACGTTACCTTACACAGCGCCACAGACGTATGATTGTGGGATGGCTGAAGAGGACGTAAGAAACACAGCACCAAATGAATTTGTCTTGAGACCCTGCTGCAGTGGCTCCATCTCGGAAAGGATGCCCGTTTGAGCTCCTGCGGGTTGTCTTCGTTTTTCAGAACAAAAGATACTTGATTTTACCAAGGCGCTTCGGATCCATTCGGGATTTCACGAAGGCGCAAAGGGCCTTCCAAAAGACACACTCTTGAAGTTGTGTCAGGGCTGAGGATTTCACGGGCTGGTTTGCTGGACTTGTATGGTTGGAGTCATGTTGGAGAGAAATGCCGCTGGGCTTCAGAGTTAACACAAACGCGTTGGAAAGGAACAAGCTGCACATGTTGCCTCTCTGCTCGCCCAAGACCAAAGTTCAATATCCCAAATGCCTCCTGTGGAAGGTGGGCATCGCTGTCGCCCGCAGAAACAGAGGGAACCAGTCTCCTCCTGGCACTGCTGCTGCGGGAGGCTCAAGTCTCATTTTCAAGCTTTTTTGCCCCATTTTGATGCGCCATCTACTTCCCTGCTGTATGACATAAATCATGTGAGAGAGAGACTGGAGCCGGGCACCGGCTGTGCGATGATGAGAGGTGAGGTACGAGACTAGACAGACATTTTGACGTGTAAATGCTTGGTCTCTGACAAAAACGCTGTATTTTTAAAGTATTTTTGCTTAATCCTCGATGATTATTTTACATCTTTCAGTATTGGAAAGAGACGAGGTGTGAATGAAATAAAAGCCAAACCTTTTGATCTTGGGTGGTGACGTGTACGTGGAGATTGTAAGAAAAATGGTTCTTTTTGGCTTTCGGTGCCGGTCCCTGGGCAGGCGCTGGGGTTGTCTCCAGCGGCTCCCGCGGGAACTTCCAAATTATTTTGTTCTGAAATGCTGCAAAGAACGCGTTTATCGACGCGCGCACAGATGTCGGCACGAAGAGCTCTCGGCGCCGGGTTGGCCACGCTCGATTTTCCCGCGGGAATGACGTCAC